TGAAATCAGTTTCGATTATTTTTTCGAATCAGATTCGTTCTTCATTGATAAGGTGGATTAATCTATATAGATATTTATAACTTCCAGATTCTGTTTGTTCAAATTCACCAACACGATAGTTTCCCTTTCCATGATTTTTTAAGAACCTAATTAATTTGAATAAAAACAAATTTTCGTTTAATTTTTTTTTTTAATAATCGATGAAATGTGACTTGAAATAATGAACATACGTCTGCAAATAAACTGTAAGAAATAATGCTAAATTTGTAAATATTCAATGTTTCGAAAAATCTGGAACGTTGAATTATTAGTGGAATTTTGATTTTTTGCAATTTTATATGTCCTTACATCAGAATATTCCGTCTGCAATGCTTGCACTCCGAAATTAAAAATCGATTTAAAATTGATGAAAAGCATATTTTCCATAAAAAGATGTTGATTTTACTGTTTCAATGAGTTTTTCAGCGATCCAAGCCATGAAAAAAATCTGACACAGAACGGCGAGCAAAGAGAATGCAAAGATAATAAAATGATCGTTATATTCGGTCACCATAACCCAGAAACCCATTTTACAAATGACGCGTGTACTAGTAATATAATTTACCAAACTCGATATGTAGAATATTTCATTTAATTTACGACTTATTCTGTAAATATCGAAAGTTATGTGCAGAGAGAATAGTCCACTGTAGTCGCATTTTTTTAATTTTCAAATAATTGATAGCATTTTAATTGATATTGACATTTACCCAATAACAGTATTTTGTTTTGACACACATAATCTGATAACGTCTAATTCGTTAAATTTGTCAATTTATGGCAAGATTTGTGGTTGTAATTCAATGAAATAACGATGAATATAATCGAATTGAATGCATACTAAATGAACTATTGCCAACAACAGTAGATCGGATGCCGAAAGGCTTAACGATGCACTGAAACCAATCCATATTTGAACAAAATAAACGGATTAAAATGTGGGTATTTTCTCTGTTTCGAATGGTAGCCAAAATTTCAATGGTAATTTCATTTTCCATACTCCAGTCGAATTATACACTTTGATATATGTATAAAACGGTAGTACAACATATGATGCAATCATAAAAAATTATATGCACGAATAACGTAACATAAGATTTGTTGTTAAAAACTACCTTTTAATATTGTACTCTGTTTGCTCATTTACGGATTTTCGGATGAATATCATCCAAAAGGATAAATAACTCTTTTTGTTTCGAACTCGACAGGCAATCGCAATGATTTTACTGAATGTAGTACTTTGGTATGCAATACATGATTGAGCATAACAAAACTCGTTCAAATCGAAATCAGTGGCAATTATATGATAAATAAACTCTACTTGCAATAGTGCAACACAAATCAAATATATAATGTTACACCAAATCGCAACAGATCTAGGGGGTAAACAAACTAGAAAACTAAAAAAATTAATGGTAAGAAAAATTAGCAATACTTAAGCCCGTGTCTCCCCCTAGCAACAGATACACTTGATTTGCATCGTTTTCACTGGTTACACACATCAATTCCAATAAAGTACGGATCACTTTGTAGAATTCACTGGATGATATCACTCTTGATGTCTTGGACATAATTGAATAACTGATTGAATTTTGACAAAATTTACCGAAATTTATAGAGTATCTTTTGGACATGTGATTCAAATTATTTTTCTGAATCAAGAACTTATCTAAAAGCCTTTTTTGGGATATTCATTTGATCTGATAATTGACGATGACAAACAAAAGAGATAGTAGTTGACATTTGACGTGAACATTTTTTATTTCTGGCTCGTTGAATTATTATGAAATAACCGAAAAAGAGTATTGAAGTAACATTACAGGTTAAAAGAAAGAAAATGTAGTTTTTTCGAAATAATTGCCCCTTTCAAAGAAACGTATCATGTAAAAATCTCTTACTTTGAAGTTCAAACATCGTTTGAATATCGAATTTAAATTTCTTTTAGGAATGTAAAACGTCTTTTGTCATAAAAAAAACTTGACGACAGTTGTCCAATTTGAAAAATGACGTTGATTTTTGTTTTGTGTTTTAAAAAAAACTCCTAATCACTCAAAAAGTACATTCTATGAAAGGATTATGACCAACTTCATTGTTTGAGTCGCTTAAGGGTTGTCGTATGGGTTTTGGAACAAAAACCATATACTATACATTACACAAGTCATTGTTTGACCGGAAGTCAGACACAACTTCATAAATATTTGATATGCACAAAATATGGGCTGTGCATTACTATTTCATAATTAATTTCCACTCGAATTTGTTTCCACTTCTCTGTTCATTTCATTTAATTTGGTCAACATTTTGATTCGATGCGATGAAAAAGATAAACAGCAATTGTACGCACGCTACCATCGACATTTTGCTAATCGCACCAGGCCATACAATGCGAACCGGGGTAGTGTATGTTGGTGAAGGTGTGTACTGGCACTGTAATATTCCGGCAATGATGGTCATTAATATTGTGTACGCGAAGGGTTAAATGGCGCATAAATATAACGTTCTCTGGTTATATCGATTCCGATGACCGATAAACTTTTCATATCAAGATTTCATTTCAAATATGAAATGGATAAATTAACCTCTAAAATGAATGTAGAGGATGCGTGAGCGCTAGCACGAGCCAGTAATTATAATTAGCAGTTTACTTAAAGTACAGCTAACGATAAAATATGATGGCGAAAATGGTTTCGAATTCGTTCAAAAAGAGTGAAAACAATATGTGCACCCACCAATGGCACAAACATTTCAAATGTAATCAATACGGTACGAAATGCGTCATGTGAATTTGCACAGAGAATAACACGTAAAAATCAGTTAAGTTACATTTGGAATTGATGATCGGTGCGAAAGTCATTACTATCCTTTTAATGGCATGTAAACCTTATTAAGACCGATTTCACGCACAACAGGACATCTAGAAAGGACAACGCGTAATATGAAGAAATAAAAGCACGCACACACACACACTCACAAGTTCAATACCTTTTTCCAATTTCCTATTTACTACTAATCATCATCGGTTTCCATAGAAATAAGCATAAGACTATTTGAAAAGGATTGGCCATTTGCTTCGATTTCTTGAACAATAAAATTGTGAATTTGGTGTTAGTCTTTCGTTATGTACTGAACGCCATCGAAATCAAATCGCCCGTATTTTGAACAATCATCATCTAGAGACCACTGAACGGATGTGAGTGGTGTGGGCGAACGAGTGAGAGAGACTTTAATGGCAATTTTGTGACTATTTCGAATCATACGGCAAACGGACCAGTTAACAGTATATAAATATTGGAATCGGTTATGTAATTGCTTAGGCGCGCACATCGTACGCATTTTTATCGAAACATTTTGCTATTTATATATACAGAAGCATACAATACATTCAGATCCCTGTTTGGCGATTACCGTACGCATTGGTGCTTTATTCGTTGTTTCTAAATGGCTTTCAATTCTGACTGTGCATGTCTATGTTCTGTGTATGTGTTTTTCTGGCATAAGCAATGAACAAAGGGTGAGTTTGCAACGCTGGACAACATCAGTATAATACGGCAAACATATTTTAATGATTGCGCGTAAAGCAAACTACAGATTAAATGCGTATGCATTGGCTATGGCTGGTTCATGCCAGGCATTGAATTGTTTTCTCGTCATATTACGGCTTGCTGGCACAACAAATTGCTCATATTTTCATGTGGCGACGATGTAATATAAAGTGCATTTCGACAGTCCCTATGATTCGGATAAAAAATTTCCATTGAAATTCGACGATAATGAAAAGGCATATTGATGAAATTTCGAAATCGAAGTGTTCACCTGGAATGATTGGCATCGAATACAATATTATGCAATGCAAAAGATTCACAATACCATATTGTTAGCACAATAACACACTAATCCTTTGCTTTATCCAAATTTCGTTCTTCTTTCATTCGTTTTCATTGAAAACGGGCTCTCTGTTCATTTCAATCGTTTCCATTGTCTAAAACAGAAAAAGCACATAAAGAGAGAGAGAGAGAATCACGCAGAACAATGGGGTACTCTTTCAAATGGACATGATTTATGAAATGGACACACACTCACAAATACATAGATACGAAACGGATAGGTGCACGGATCATTTATGAAAGAGGAAAAAAAAAATGACCGATACGAATGAACGCAAAAACAGAAATAAAAACCCATTCATTTTGATCTACTGTAATGGGTGAGTGAGAGAGGCAAATTCAGAAGGGAGTCGCCGGCAACAACAACAACAACGAAGAAATTGAATAGAATGCATGTGTTTCTCTGTTTTTGTGCAAAGCGATATTGTTACATATGCGAGCCAGAGATTATTTAATGCGCTTTGCGAAAGGATGGACATAAATCTTCGAGTCGACAAAATGCATGTGTTCCAATCGAACAAAACAATAACAATCGAATCTTCCAGAGTCAAAAAGAAAAAAACAAAAAACCATCGAAAGAAGAAGAAGAAGCATGTACGAAACTATAAAAAAGCGAAAGAGATAAGACACTATAGAAGAAATTCATTTGATTTCAACATCAACACCATCCAAACTCGAAAAATGAAAGTGAGAATTGATGCTTCCGTTTCAAAGAGTAATATTAAAGCAGAACGAAATGATTTTCACTAAAGATGAAGCCCATGGAAATGGACACAGCAATTAACAAAGGAAAAGTCTATATCATCACAAGCAAAATCCAGCGGCCACTCAAAAAACCATAGCAAATCAAGACCCCCCTGTGCCCATGTATGCAAAGAATCAAAGCAGTTATGTACGTGGCGGTGAGCATCCCAATTTTATACTGAATGAAAATGAAAATATCTACATTTTAACTGAAAAAATTGGAGTTTTCTATTCTTTATTTGTGAAATCGAATAATTTTTATTGAATAATCTCTTTATTTATCAATTTAAATATACATTTTTTTTTACCAAACTTTCGTTTTTTTCACGTGAATGTGTATGTTATTAGATCAAATCATCCATCAAATGGTTGATTGGCTGAATTCAATCAGCAATTTGTTGCTTTTTGTAAATTTTGCTTTCGATTTAAAGTTTCAGCATCGTCCAAATCATCAAGATCTTCTTCGTTAAACAGTGTTGATTCTGAACGCGACGAATACGTGCTAAGATCTTCTGGTTCGATTTGTTCCGATATTGGTGTCATTTTAATGGCATCTTCCTTAAGCATGCGTAAAATGTTACGCGGATCATTCGATTTATGTGTATTTCGTTTTTCGCTACTTTCTAAATTTGATTCAACGCTTAAATCAAGCGGCATTTCATGGCTCGGGTTCGTTTGTTGGGCCGCACGTTGTTCCATTTTAAAATGTTTGAGTAGTGGTGCATTTGATGTGCTCAAATCTGATGATCGTTCACTAGTTTCTGATCGGGATGCTATTGAATTATTTTCCAATGAAATGGCCGGCGATGTGGCCGGTGTCAATGGTGCATTTGCACATTTATGATTTACTAAATGATGACTGTGTCGAAAGCTGGCATTGCATGTTTCGCAACGATATGGTTTTTCATCTTTATGAATTATCATGTGGGCTTTGAGTTGATTCGAATCGGAATATTTGCAATTACATTGATCACATACGTATGGTTTTTCACCAGTGTGCACACGTAAATGACGTCGCAAATTGGCCACTTGCACAAATTGTTTGTCACAATATTTGCAATGATACGGCTTCTCACCGGTATGTAGACGCATATGTGTTTTCAAATGATGATCGCGTGTAAAACGTTTGTTGCAAATTTCACAGGCGTATGGCTTTTCACCGGTGTGAGTGCGTTCATGATTTTGGAGTACATGTTTGTAGCCAAATGATCGGTTACATGTTTGGCATGTGAACGATTTATCACGTGTTGGCTCTTTATTTGGTGTGGCACGAATTGTTGATAGTGATTGATGCTTCATCGAACCAATTGACTGTGGTGATGAACCAGATGTTTGCGGACTTATTGAGCTCCGACTAATATGTCTTTTTAAATCATCTTGCATATTTAATTTGTAATTGTTATTTGTAAGCTCTTCGCTGGTTGTCGTTGGTACGATGTTATTGTTGTTTTTCACACTTTTTATGCTGAGCGCAGATGAAATGGGCGAAATTGGCGGCGATGCAACAGCCATTGGGGGCAATTGCCATGAGAAAAAAGATGGATGTGGATAGAGTTTTGAAAGTAATGCGGCTGCAGTTTGGTTGGCAGCAAACATTTGCGGTGTTAGCATACCGATCGATGTAAGACCTGAGTATAAATTGGATGTTTCGTGCATACCAGCATTTGGTAATGTTGCACCAACCAATGATGCTGGTGATAACGGTGATGATTTGTTTAATTCGTCATGATCATACTTCATATTCGATAAGAAACTGGCTTGGAATGCAAGTGAGGCATCTGTACACGAGACGGAAGAAAGGATATTTTTGGTTGGTTACAACTTTTATTGAAAAACTTTGTGGCAAAAATTGTACGAATATTTTCTATGAACCCACACACCACAAAAATATGTGGAAAATAACGAAATTTTGAAAATTTCAAAAATAAAGGTTGGAAAAAACTTACTTCTTGCATTTTGTTCTTGTAAAAGGCTCAGCGCTGACATTGACATGATGCTTGCTTTCTTGTCTTCCAACAGAACTCGATTTTAATAATTTCGTCAAATTTTATAAAATAGTATTCACTAAGTTTATTTCACCAAATTCATAATTATTCTCAATGTTCCTTAATTTTTTTTTTCTTGTTTCGTTTATATATATATATATAATTTCTTTGAATTTGTTACGAAAACTTAGTTTATACTTTATTTAAAATGTTGTATTTGAAATTTTTTTACTTTTGTCGATGTATAACAGAAAATAATGAACAAAAATCCAAAAATAAAACTCAGTATGTGAACCAATTTAATGCCAAAACATAAATGAGCTATTTTTCAAACCTACACCTACTAATATCGATGTGCGACCAATAGTCCTCGCAATAACATGCGACAATAACACCGTAATAGCAGCAATAACAAGAAAAGCAACAAAAATAGAGCAAGAAACTGCACGTTTGCTTCACTTTACCCTGTACACTTCTTCCTCCGTTAAAATATGGAAAAGGAAAATAAAAGGAATAGAAAGATGCATTCGTAGGTATGCAAACACACATACACCATGACATAGAAGATTTTCATTTAATTTGCTACACTTAAACTCACCATCGATCGATTGTCGCTGATTCGTAATTTTTGCACGATAATCTATTTATGAATGATACGATGATTTAAATAACATTTTTTCATTCGATTGGAATGTGTGTTCCAATTTTCGTTCAGAAAATATGTAACTTCTCTGCAAGCGCAATACAACGGGTCTTCGTAGAAATGTAAACGATTAGGTGAAAATATGTAAAATGTGTAACAAATGTGCCAAAAAAAGATACAACCAAAGAACTACAGAAAGTGACAAGCACCCTCATCTAAGAAGACAAGAAAAGTTCATTAAAGAAGACAATTTTTGCAAACGAAATGATAATTCAATCAAAGGGACAATGAACAATTTTATTACAACCATAAAAAAATCGTCTTAATCTTGTTAAAAACATATCATTTGAATCCCTTTTGTTCTTCTACAGCAATATGCAAATCATAAAATAGACCATGTACACATTTGAAACGAGTTTAAATAAACACATGTCAGGTAAAGAGAAAAGTAAAGTAAACGCACTGGAAAAGCAATACTTCAAATTCCAGGGAATATCGTCAGATAGATTTAACAACTTATGTGAATCGATGCAATGGATTAGTGAAAATATAGTTTATTTAACCTGATAAATTCATCTGGCAGTATTCCCTACCCAAATGTATGCACATTTTTTTGGTGCAAAAATATTCATGCAAATGTCCATGTTGTAAATGCACTTTTCTAAGCAGAAAAGAAAACAAATCATAAACAAAACTGAACGCATTTCGACTAAGCAAAACACAAAAATAAAAGAATCAATACTTTTTTGTCTCTCCTTCTATAAAATAAACAAACAGTCAACGAATTTTTGGGAGCAAACCAAAGTGGAAAGTGTGATAGCAAAGGGAATATTTCGGCCATTTGTTATGGCCAGAGTTAAAAATGTATGCTAAAAATATATATTAGTCTTGCTGCTTAAAAATCCGATTGCTTATACACAAATTATCTGCAGTCCATATTTACACTTAAACATTGAACTGATTAAATTGGACTGATTTTGTTATCATCGTTTTTGGAAAATTTCTTAATTTCAAATATTCACCGTTGACACTGCATTTTAATTTTTGTCTGTTTTTTTTTTTATTGCGATATTTTATCAAAATTCTTGCAAAATAAGAGACATTTGTGTGGGAGTTGCTTTGTTTTGGATTTTTTTATTCGATTGTAATTCAGTCGGTAATATCCGCTACTAGAAAAGTTGAACGTTATAATAAGGTGATAAATATCCATGATTAGATGGTATTTACGTGTTTTAGCACGAATTCTAAAAGAAGATTTATGACGAAAGATTGGCAAAGTAACGAGAAATGGATGAAAAAAATGAAGATTTTGAAGAAATCAAGATTGGTTTGATGTGTACAAGCGGTCTTCGATTATATTTAAAAAAAGAAATTTTCAACCGAATGTTGAGCATATTAGATTCAAAGAATTTTGATAATACTTATGAAATAGCTCTTGATGTTACGATTTTGTTATAAGTATCTTATGTATGGACCATGCATATCGAACATCATAGAATCAGAGCTATAAATAAGATTCACAACAGATATTGGAATGAACGGAAAGAAATTGATATCAGACAATATATTGAACTAACTGGTCAATTGAGCTGACAGTACGTTAGCCAGCTAAATGGGCTAAAACAATAGAAGTGACTCATCATTATAACAATAACTTTGATTGTTTTAGCCCATTTAGCTGGCTAACGTACTGTCAGCTCAATTGACCAGTTAGTTCAATATATTGTCTGATTGATATCAATCGACCAAACGAAAGAGCTGAATTTTTTTCTAAAATGTCTATAAAACAATGTACGTTGAATATACTTAGCTTCTTCTAAAAAAAATCTCAACCCCAAATGGATTCTTCAAAAATTTATGAAATTCCAGAATGTGTAGTTATTCTATCATAAAATTTCTATCAAATGGGAATTGAATAGTTCAATTCATTATTTTATGTATTTAAAATATATTTTCATAAAAAATTGATAAAAAAATGTAAAAATACATAGATATAACCACCAGGGGTGTTCTAAATATACATTTAAAACAAGAACACGGAAATGAAGCTCCTTTTTTTGAAATGGATTTCGAAAAAAATTCGGATTTTTTCTTCATCGAAACGGATTGGATTTAAAACGGTAATTAAAATACAAAACCAACACGACAAAAAAATTACGCTACAAAAAAAGTTGTAAAAGTGAAATCGATCCGAATGCCACACATATATTAATGAAGGAAAAAAACACTCCGGAAAAAATCATCACTAATCTAAATTTGGCGATTTGTACAAAACTAGTTAAAAAGAGGCTGAAATATAAAAAAAGGATGTGATGAAGCAATCCTACGTTCACACGAAAATACAGACGCATAAAATCCTATGAGCTGAGATTAAATGTTCATTATCCAGATGTGTCATTTGAATATCCTGCGAAAAAAAACTGTAACCGTCCGTTGTGAAGCTGAAAGGAAAGGAAAAAAGACCGAACACACTGCCTGAACTGAATGAAAACTTGCGAGTTAGAGGGAAAAAACAGTAAATGAGAGAATGATGAACATATGAAAACTGGGTGAAACAAGGATGAATATTAATTTATAATGTCTTTATGGTATAACGGTCTTTATCTTTCAGTTTTGTGGCATTGTTTCGTCAGTTTTGTGGCATTTTGCGTTGCGCGATGCGCAGCTCACAATAATTAATCAATCGATTTTGGAGAAAGTTTTTTTTTGGTAAGGCGTGAGGCAACAAGCGAAGAAAGAACGGTGGTAATGAAGCCAGCGACGTTGCCGTTAACAAGGCACCGGAAATACCAGTGTGTCACTTGTAGTTATGCGTTCCAGACAAAATGTTTCGTTAATTAAAACACATGAATTGTGAAATATAATTATGATTATTCGGTTGTAGAGCCTACAACGACCGCATAACGATTTGCATTGATGGAATTGTGGTATGTGCCATGGTTTTGTTGCACGGCATTCTGGTTTCAATTTATATAAACATTGAAGAGCCTCTCGCCCAAGGTGAAATATACGTATATGTTGCGCAGCGATGTGCGCACATGTGCAATGATCGACGACTACAACGATGATGATGAAATGAGTCCTCGGAAAAAGAACGGTTTTCAGAAGAAAGAGTCACTCAATCTTCAACCGAATAATTTTTTGGTTATTCCATTTCAAATATCATTTGGTTTTTGAAGATCACATTTTATGCTCACATTAGATTTGAAAAAAGGGAAGGAAATGCTGCAACTGAAGCAGTTCGTGTCGCTGAATTCCAACGCAGAATGATTGATTTGAATAAAATTCATATAATTAGACAAATTTTCGGCATTAAAGCATGTGGCAACAAGAGATACTACCGGAAAACAAATACGATTTTTTTTCTTCCATCGAAATGTATTGGTAACATTTTTCAAACGGTTGTTCAAATCGATATATTCCTTTCACGTCGGTCACATCTTTATAAGGAACACTTGTGATTTTTCTTTCTGTTCCGTTTGAAAACAGCTTTATGCAACCCGAAAAAATGAGCAAATTTCATGCAATTCACATAATCCGAACTTAAATAAATACTACTTCATCGTTCTCAAGAGTTGAGCATATCGGCTTGGCAAAAACCAGGTCATAAATAAACATGCAATAAGATAATAATCCCAAAACAGAAAATCGGAATTTCTCTGTGTGTTTCCGTTTGATTTAAAAACGACAGCAAAATATAGAGAGAGAAAATACTCTTTTCTACCCGCTCATCCTTGAATTTTTGTTTTGGTTCCCACTCGAGTGAAAAAGATTCGACTGCGAGAAAAATAAATATGTTTTTCTACCACTTTTTTGACAAATGTTTTGCCCGAAATGGAAACAAACAACAAATTTGAAAAATGAAACTTCCAAACGATATTTTTTTTTCTTCTCTTCTCGCTCTCTCTCTACTTTTTGCTTGGTTCCGAAAATGGGATGAAAGAAAAAAAAACTCTATGATTTCCTGAACATATAAAGTTATTGGTGGCAAAATTTAAGATAAACACTTATCTTAAACTATTAGAACTAAACTCTATGACGTTTTTATTTCTTTTTCTTGAGTTTGTCCTCAAACATGAGACCAGTTTTATGATTAACGGAAAATCATTTCGGCGATTCGGTCGGTGAAACAGGTTTCACACACACACACACGCACTCATGATATCATATGTGGGAAAAAAATGAGCACGTCGCGACCAATTTGAAATTACCGACCGGATCTGAATCACGGAAATTTGCTCTTTCCGACAACAAGACCGAGAGACGGTTGAACGAACATTTTTCGATTGGAACAACGAGAAAAATGAAAGTGTCGCATATAATTTCATATCGCACTATTTCATACGCTATATTTATTTATGTTGATTTTATATATGCTGTGAAATGTATTCTTCATTGAAAACAATGCACATAAATGCATCTTCCATTTGATACAAAAATGACCATCAAAAAATGTTAAAGAAAACGTTAAAATAATATGTTAT